GAAAAAAAATGGTTTGACGATTTCAATTTCGCAATCCCAGTTACAGTGTTCTCTCATCATTTAACTGATGACTATATTCTGCATAGCAATACAAAAGTATTGAATTTTTTGATGCTGAACAAATATGAATTAAACTTAGACCAAACTTAGTCAAACTTGTACCATTTTTTCTGTTGAGCGCTTTTATCACTTCTACTTCGTTTTTTTTTTTTTTTTGTATTCGTACGAATGCGGGAGCAAAAAAAATATAGATTGAATTTTTGGCATGTAGAGAGCATCGTTCGACTATATGCGTGCGAACAGCGTATGTCGACGAACTGTGGTGATAAGTGTAACAATAACTCAACGGGATTCATGTCGTACTGGATGGCTTAATGAAAGAGAAAGACAACAAAAGGCAACCAACGAATCGAAGCCAGAATACTTGACTGTGAGACTATGCATTGAATATGAGAGAGAGAGAGGGAACTTGACAGGCGCTTTCCATATATGTCCGTCTAGCTCATGGAGTTGAGAAAATTTCATGTTTCGTACTGTAAATGTCACGCGAAATTTGTATTGTATTTGTTTTTGTGTTTTGGTGTAACGGCTGCCATCTATACAATACTATACGCGCTTATTTCAAGTGGACCAACACTCTCATTCTTTTCGGTACATATGTAGTTATCCTGTTGTCTCTCTTTCTTGCCCTGTAGCACGTTACAGCGAAGGTAACCTAGCAACAGATTTTATTCGATCGATGATGATGTTCTCTTTCACTTACTTGTTCAATTACGTTTAATTTCACTGCCATACCACGACGCTGATGGCTGTTGGCTGTAGGTGATACAAATATATGTATTAACACAGATCGTCGGTTTTGATTTTGAGTGGAGAAAAAGAGCGCACACCAAAACACACACACACACACACACACACACACAATGTAGGCGGAAAATATACGTTAGACATACCAAACCATACATGGACACAGGGGGTGTAAGCCCGGATAGCCCCTCTCTTAAGCCCCCCGACGGCAGCAGAGGAATCTTCCGATTTGCTAGGGATTTTCACTGGAAAGTGAAGACCTCTTTTTTGCTAATCAATTTCAGAAATGGAAGGAAATCTTTAAAATTGCTAGGGTTTTTCGCGAAAATCCCGTTTTGCTAAGGTATTTCGAGAGAAAAATTCTTTCGATTTGCTAGGGTTTTTGGTTGGCTGATGGACCTCTCCCCCTTAAATTTTTTCCGTGCCCATGTATGTACCAAACTAAGCTAAGAATATTTGGAACATTTGGCCTCGCAGGCGTCTACGTTTTAGATTTATTTACGTCATTCTTGGTATACTATACATATAAAACTCATGTTGCCGTGTGTGTGTGTGTACGTTTTCATTTTTTCCATCATTGTTCGATGCTCATCATACGTCCGTGTGCTACAAATCTTTTCCATTGTATGCATGGTTGTGCGCACGTGTATGCTTGTATTAAGAACTGGATAATCCATGGAGAAGAAAACCAGATCAGTAATAAAAATTGCGTGCTGAACTAAATCAGAAGTGAAAAGAGAGTAAAAAGAATATGGATATAATATAATTGATATTAGAACAAATGCCATGTGATGAATCGACTTGAAGGCATACCAAGAATAGAGGTCCCCTTCACACAAATATGATATCAACAGATTGATTTGTCAGCACACTCATTTGCCGATTCCAATTGTCAAAATAAATTTGAATTCGACAGTAACATGTCTGTTGTTTTGTAAAAAAATTGAAAAAAAAAACCCATGTAAATCAAATACAATTTTAAATAAACGTTGTCTTTTCTTTAATTTGACGAATTCGATATTCGGTTCGATATTGTATGCCTTGAAGTCATTTGAGTTTCCATTTTTTTTCGCGCACTGTATTTATTTTCAGTTTGTAACCATTTTATTGGCGCAATGGTAAAAGCACAAGCTACTTTATCATTGTTTATTTTTCAGATAAAAACGTACAAGTGTATCAATTTTTGATGTTTCCATAATAGTTTCCCATGCATTTAGGAATATGTGCAGACATGATATGTTAGCTGACATCGTCGATGTCGTCGTTCGCCATTCATCCATTGCACATGCATGTGAATGGCGCGTACTGAACACCGCAACAGACATAAATGCCAACGAACGATAAATGTAGATTGTAACACTGCTTTTTTGTTCCTCATTTTTATTTCGTGCTCTGTTCACATCAAATCAACATAATGATTTGTTTCACCGTTTATGGCTTTCGTTGCATTAATTGTTTGTTGTTTGATATAGAATACAATGCGCAAGTGTTGCATAACGTTTAATCTATATTCGTACGATTAAGGTGTTCTCTCGCGTTGTCATGGTTTGATACCTTTTTTACCAGCAAAAATATGTTTTGAGATGGTGTTTTTGTTGGCGCCGTACCAAAATCACTTTTGATGCCAAAACAAAAACACGTTTCTCATTATATTTGATATCTGAAACAGTAATACAAAATTGAATAACCTAACCCTATAAATCTCATCACACACATATATATATGTATATTTGACAGCTTTGGTCAATTTTCATGAGCTTAACAAACAAAACTGTCGTCGAGATTCAGTTTGTTCAAATAAGTGGACAGCAATTAAATTGTAATAATAGCGTGAAGCAAATAGAGACTATAATTATGTGTATGCATTAGATGTATGTGTATTTTTCGCACAGCATGTAAACCCCAAGCTGATTAGTTCACCATTATATGCGTACAATCTGAAGTGCTACCATATTTTTGTGCTCATCTCATTTTCGTTTTGCTTCAATGGTGTTGGTGTTATTAGTAGCATGTAACGCGCAGCATTTATTGTAACCACGATTTTTTTTTCTCTACTTCTGCTCCCCATATCTCTGTGTTGCGCTGAAGCTCTCATATTCAAGCAACAAAAAGTATAGAAACTGCGTCTCTCTCTCGTTCGAATGGTTTGTTCGCTCTTTCGGTACGGCTTGCAAAAATTGTTGGCCTTTTCGGTGAGGCAGAGGGAGAGAAAAGGATATATTTACTTTTGATACATACACAAACCACGTCATTTTCCATCTCAATGCCACTGTGTGTGTGTGCGCGCTCCATGAATTCGCAACAAAAATGTTGTGTTGTGTAGCAATTGAGATAATGAGTACAGCATTCAAATGTTTCTCTCTCTCTCAATTTTCGTGTATGTGTGTTAATATTCATTTACGTGAGATGAGCCGCATTTGCGCATAAAACATTTGAGCTTTTTATATTGACGATGGTGAATAGTTTTCTCCCACTTTTACACATTCGTGCAAATTTCGCGTCGATCGTGAGCTATCTTACTAACATCCATGCTCCCCATCTTTTTCCAATTCTTTCTATCTCGTTCTCTCGTGAAAATTTTGGCTCTGCGGATATCAAAAGCATATCGCGCCAACCAGCCTAATGGAGCAGAAACCATTTGATATTCGATGTATGTAAATTTTATTGTACAATGGTCAGGAAAATGGTTGGTTTATTGGCGAAAACATAATTGAGAGTGGAAAATAATAAATCTATTGCAAAAATCAAGCAATAAAAACGCTTACCTGCGTGGAATGATAGAAACATTGTATAGTAGCAGTATTGCAAATAATTCAACTTTTGGTTATTTTGGTGCTGATGTTGTTGTTATTGCTGTCTGACAAGCTTTTTGCATACTCTCGTTTGCTATGACGGCATGTGCAAGGCGAATGTATATCAGATAACGATGTGGTTTCATTGTATAGATGCTATACGCACGAAAACACAGTCAACGCAACACAAAAAAAAGGTTTTGACATAAATTTGTAAGCGTGCTCAGACGGGATTTGTGTAGTGGTGAATATTGGAAGATATTTTCCACACAACACGTATGATTTCTCCATCCTTCTATATTTCTGCACATTTTCGATGGCAAATTGTTCTCATAATAGTACCAATCGTTCTCTCACATACACACACACGGCGCTCGCTCTTTTCACTGTATGTGTGGATGTGTGTGTATCTGTCACTCTCTCGACCTCTTTCTCTGTTGCATGCTCTCAATGGAGAGCACTTCGTTTGTCTCATTCATTGCCATTCGGATGAAATTCTAGTGGTTTCAGCATTGTCCTTATTTGATGCGTTCAATTTATGTATCATCTCATTCAAACTGTATATGCTGGAGCTCTCTTTCTATCGCGCTCATTTTCTCAGTGTCTCAAATCGAACTGGAGCATATTTCTCATCGCATGAAATTCCGTCACAAAAGGCCTTGATACTACTGACGATGGAATATGGGCGTTCAAGATAACTAAAAAAAACCCAATTTCAGTTTTATCGAGAACGTCGTGCGGTGTGGTGCAAAAATAGACACACGTTTTTAAAGAATAAAAAAAAAACGATAAAATACGAATTAAAAAATCAAACAAACGAGCAAACAAACAAACTAAATAATAATAATAAACGACTAACATATTAATTTTAAAATACGATTCGAGCGTGAATGATGTAGCCTTTTTCACAGAATATATACATACACGAGAAAGAATAGTTTCAATTACACACATTTTAAAAAACAAAAACGAATCGAAAAATTACGACGACGTCTATGTGAAAAGCTCACAAAAATCAAAACACAAAACATAAATTGCATCAAATTATTGTAATTAGAGGCGAATGAAGAGACACCAACAATTCTGATTACAGGAAAATAGGCCGCAAAACGAACACTGAATCAAAATCTTACGATTTTCTGAACGTTTTTTTCTTTTCTTGTTGTATTTTCTCTCTCGTCAATGTAACCAGTGAATATTATTACATTATTTTTTCTCGGTTCTTAAATGACACGAACAAAATCTCGTATGAAAATGTACATTTTTCCAAATCAAACAATATTTTTGTGAAACAAACTGATTCAAGTGCGTTCCAAATTAATAAAAAGAATACGACGACAACGACGACGACGAAGAAGAAGAAGTAGTAGAAGTAGAAGAAAAACATAAACAATAAATACGAATAATAATTTTTATGAAGAATCAAGTGTCAGTGTGACCATATAACATAAGTTGTGTCTACATTACAAATTACATTGTAATCGTTCTTGTTCTTGTTCACTTGTCGTCTTCGGTGCCGTTGTCATTGTATTCGTGTTGTCATCGTACAAAATGTGTTCTGCGTTTGGCGTTCACTGTTGATGACTTTTAATAAATTTAAGCACTCGTGATTTGACTGAATTTTTGTTGTTGTTATTTCATCGTTTTTCTTTTGTATCTCATATCAAAATACACTATACACTTTTAAAACTTAGATATTTTAGCAAAGACATTTAAAAAAACGTTGTATATTTTGAAAATTAAATAAAAAGCTCGTCATTAAAAACAAATGTTTATACATACATAAAATACAATACAATACAATACACGTATTACAATCCAATGTGTAACGATTGTAATGCAACAGCGTATCCGGAGCAAATTGATCGAGAAAACAATTTTTAATTAAGCTGTGTTTTTATGTGCATAATTCACAAGAAATTAAAGAATAAGAACAAAAAAAAAGTCAAATAAATAAATTCAACGTTTGAATCATAATCCAAGTGCTAAACTATCGAAACAACAGCAGTTACACTGAAAATATCAACATCATCAATTGATGCAACATTTTCATTGGCCACCAGCTGCAGTTATATAATTTATGTTCATCAAATATATTCATGTATGGCATAAGACAAATGTTGAACAATTTAAAAGAGAGCACCAGCACATCGTTCTGACAGGCACAACAACGACGCAAAGCCGTTTATTTGGGATTCGTGTATTTTGGCGAGATTGATTGACGTACAACGTACGAAATAAGTTGGTTTCGTGATTGTTCGGTATCAAAAGCTCTCCTGTATTAAGCAAACCAAACCAAACTGAACCGAGTGTTTGATGCTTGTTTCTTGTAAAAGTCGACATATATAGAATCATTGATTGCGCGCTTGTGTATCAGTGACTGTGGCTGTGTCTATACTACTGTACACGTATTATTTTTGTATGTGAGTGTTGTAAAGTCGTGAGAGTATCGTGTGTATTATAAAACAAAGAACGAATAATATCTGAGCGTGACATTGCCGCTTACAAGCCACTATGTGATTAGAACCGAAATCAAACTGGCAATTGAAATAGAAAGTGGCATGAATAAGTGTCCACGTTGTCAGCGCATAGAATTTCTTGGCGAATTTAAAATAAACTCGTTCAGAACGAAAAGTCTCGTTGGCTTTTCATTCTGGCAGCGTCACAGTCGGATACCGATAATTCTGCAACCACTGTCGACAAAAACGCATTACGATTGCATTGTTGTTGCGTCATAGTGCAAATAACACCCGTTACAGGATCATCGACAACGGCTTCGGTAAAAGATGTCGGTAGCAGTGGTAGTCGAAAAAAAGTTTGCATATGCAATGCAGCAGCACCATGCCGCATTGAAGCGCTTCAACAGCAATCAACCTACAGACCAAGTGCATTGTTGAAGAAGCAACAACATGGTTCTCTGGATCGGCTACTACCGCTGGAAAAGGCGGCGCCTGAAGATAAAACCATGAAAATGCAACAAATCAGCGAACAAAATTTCAGTGAGTACATACATATTTTTTCTTTCTGTGTGTCTCGATAGATTCACTCTTTGTGCCAAACGAAATGAAAATGAAAAAAAAAAAACAGTGTGACGATAACATTTCAAGAACCGAGGGGATACATTTTTTCTCTTGTTGAAAGGTAGTCGGTACACATTTTTTTTCAGCCCATACAATTTGGTTGGCACAAGAGAGAGTACATACAAAAATTAACTGTCATCACTGATACGATTCATAATTGTGCAATTGCAGGATATGAAAAATTTTATCATGACTTCAATGGAAAATTATATGAAATAATCCGCAAAGTGCCATTAACAGCTAATGATCATGTTTCGGCTGCCACTGCACACGATCAACAACAACATGAATTGATTGATCGCAAAAAAAATTTGACACGACAATTTTCACAACCACAACCAGAAAAACCTCAGCCACCACCACGAACATCGTCTCGATCAAAAAGCAGCGACATTGACTACATCAATGCACCAATTAAAATCGATGCCGGAAATGAAACGCAATTTGATCGCACACAACGTCAGCGACATTCATCACGTTCGGTTGGCGGTTTCGATCGCGAATCAGAATTTAGCGGTAATAAAAATGCCATACACCAACGACATTCGTCCGGACCAAGTGAATTAATAACGCAAAAAAGCGATTCAACGGATTGGATATTGAATTTACCACACAAAGGTGATAAAAAGCAAGAGATTCGAATAAGTGAAGCATTGAAAAATGAATTGCTGCAAATACTACAGCAAAAACGGCCATTACAGCGCCAAGATTCTGGACCAAATGATTATGCACAATTGCAAAATAATATGGAAAACATTATCGAATGGATCAAATCGCAACACACCGGTAAAAATGTTCAAGTATCATCATCGGCCAAAGATGAGAAAAATCTTAAGACTGCGAAAAACGAGCAATATGCCGTGCCGCGAAAACGCCATTCATTTGGGCACACCGATCCAAATAAGTGTGCTGGTGGTAATCAAGCACCAGATTGGTTGACGTACGCACCAACGGCAACATCGGGTCGACCAGCCGACACCGACCGTAATAGACTAGATATAGCAGCAAGTAGTAATTTTGACATATCAAATAATTTTAAGTCGATTAGAAATGCTGAACATCGCCACGAACGACCGAGACACCATCGGCGGCTCCGCCATTCAGCGAGTGAAGTAGTCACTCCAGCATCCGAACAAATGACATCAAAATACCAATCTAAACGTGAAAAATATCAATATATTTACAAAGCGCCTTCAACGAGCATTGATCAAAATGCCGTCAGCGAACAACGATCGATAAATAAAGAACGGCCACGCCGTAATCATACACAACGATCGGCCACCGTATCGGATATGTCGCATCAACATAAACAATCGTCAGTTGAACGAGAATCGTCGCACAGTTCATCGATAACCAAATGCATGGATCCGATGTGCACATTGTTGCCAATTTGCACAAATCCCAATTGTCGATTGAACGATTGCTACAACACCAGACGCTGTTCATCTTTAACACGATGCGCTGAACCAAAATGCACAAGCGAATGCTTTCAACTTCAATCATTCCCTGAATGCATGGATACAAAGTGTGTGTGTCACCGATCAAACAATGCCTGTAATTGTAAGTCAAATAAATTCACATTCGCATTGAAGTCATCCTATTTGAGCATAACAATGGTGTGCATGTCAAGTGAAAACAATGAAGAAAAAAAAAAAACGCACACGGAAGAAAACAAAACAAAAACTACAAACAACTTAATTTCCGTTCAAGTTTCGTTGGCGAAAATCCCATTGTTGTGCTCAAACAGTTATGTCTTTGGCAGAGCGAAATGGAATCTAATTGATATACGTACCGTTTGCAGATAAGCACAATTCACTGCCAAAATGTGTAAGTGCACATCGTAACGAGCATGATTCATCGTCATTTCCTCGTGCACATCGATCGCGTAACGGTTCAAATGGCGGAAAATTGGTAAAATCCGCATCAGCCGCATCATTGAATTCGCGTCGTCGACGCCATAAGACTGTACATTTTGGCGAGAATCTATTGCGCGAAGTGTGCCAAAATCGTAAATTGATTGAACCATTTCAAAAAACTCCGTCCGAGAAACCATCAACAATGCAAGACAACATTCAATTGCTGTATAATTTTGTTGAGGGTGTATTAAGTGCATGGGTCGACGAAGATGATGAAACTGTTCGATCTGGTGCCGAATCGGAACCGGAACGGGGACGCTTGCTAAAACCTCTCTATTTATGTGATCGAATTCGTTTGAAAACAATAAGTCGCGTTGTACACGAAGCGGCTCAATTAAGGGGAACACTTAAATTAGGAAATTCACGTTATCGTCACAGACATTGGCGCGGCACAGCCAAAATCTGTAACGAACGATTTTTGCGTAAGGTAATCACGAAACCGATTTTTCTTTGTGTTCTTTTCCAACTCACTATTCATCTTCAAAACAAACAAACAAAAAGAAAACCATTTTAACCAAATGTGTATATTTTTTATTCACTCGCTTTTGTTATAATGACATTCGTTTTAAATATATTTTTACTGACCTGTACGAAAAATAGATCCGAAATTCGGACGGAATTATGGGATTTTACTAATTCAAATCACGGATTTTTTTAATTGTTTGCAAATTCTTTATATCGTTTAGCTTGAACCAAAAAAAAAGAGTATAAAAAAGGGGAGAAACAATCACTCTCATATTATCCACTCGGTTTAATCTAAAGAACACATATTCATGCTTCATTTCATCCAATTGATTTTTTTGAAATTCTGCTGTAGAATGCCTCGCAGTAAAAGTTACGCGGATTATGAGTTACAATGGAAAAATGGTCGCTTTAAAATTCGTATGCATTAAAGCAAACTTTTTGAAAATTAAATTCAGTGATATCACTTGAAATACGAACCCGTTTAATAGAGAGCCAAAAAAAGAGAAAAATCTATATGCGTCAAGAACAGGAACCAACATTGAATTAATTTACATTTTTCTTTATCTCGCATTCACGCATTCAAAAATAAATGTAGATCGTACTTAAAACTGACAATGAAAAAAACCAACGAATTCCATCCCTAGATTGTAACAAGCATGGGACGTTTTCAATTTATGCTAATTTAGCGATTGAGAAGAAAAAAAAAATTTTACAAAAAGATAGACAGTTACTTTGGATTTTGCATCTATTTTATGTTCTGAACGACGAAAAAATGTCAGGATGATTTGAGCTCTCGTTTATCTGTAATCAAAGTCTGTGAATAATAATATTCTAATCGAAAAATAGCACAAAGCATTCATACACATAGAACTTATGAGTTTTAAACTGCGTTTAGCATTTGCGTATATAACTCAAATCACTTAAAAACTTCAACGAATCAACTCATTTTTCGTCCGAACATTTAACATTACAAGAACGATGATACTGTCGACCATTTTTGATTAATTTTTTGTTGAAATTGAATATTACGAGTATTAATACATACGAATATTTCCGTTCAGGTATATTTTTGTGGATTTCATATATAATTTGAATGGAAAAAAAGAGATTTCAACCGAATGAAAATCAGCAATGGGCCCATCGGCAATGGAAATGTCGAAAACGAGTTCAGCTATTGATTGAACAATTTGCGGGATGGGTTGATGTGTTTTGGCAAACGACAATCACATAAAATTAATTTCGGTTTGCCCCCGAAGAACTTCACTGACAAATCGTTCTCAAACACAATAACTTGTTTCTGCTCAAGTCCCCGAAAAAAGGTTGTGACCTTTGCAAAAAATTGAAAATTGGAAAGAATTGAAAAAAAAAAAAAAATCTGATCGAAACACAAAATATTAAAAGTATGCAGGCAATGACTGCCAATTCAAAAACCCAATTACGTTTTTTTTGAGTTTTTCTCCAGCAATGCTATTCAGTCAATGGCCAATGTATAAGATAAAATTACTGAACATACCATAATTGCTTGATAATAACGAAAAGTTTAAGAATAAATGCAACGTGGTCAAATTGACGTTTATTGAAAACCATAAAAGTAATTATGATATTCTCCTGCACGTCCATGATAAAATAGTATTGAATTAGATACAATAGCATCAATTTTCATGAAAATGATGGTGCCATTCAATCGATAATTATAATTTTATAATTTGGTAATATAATAAAAAGCAGACATTGTTTTCGATAGAATTGAAGTAAAGTTTGACAATTAAAAAGCGTTTCACTACTGTTATCTCTCTTGCTAGCTCTCAACCCTTTTTTTTCATTCTCTTAATAAACATATATGTTTCTTTCGCTCTTATTCCCTCTCTCTCCTTCTATCTGTTTCTCGCTGCCTCTCGATGCGAAAATAATTAATGTTTCATTCACTTGGAATATTCAAATCAATGCAAATACTTGTGTTCAAGGTACCACGAAAAGGAAAATGATAACAGCGATACGAACAATACACAAGTCACATTGAAGTACAAACAAAAATCCAATCCAAACACCTTCGATACTTCAAGAATGAAATGAAAATGTGAAAATGTTATTTAACTGGAAATAAATGCAAATGTTGAACTGTCATTTGCTCATGCATTTGCTGCCACTACATTTTACTAGCTATAAATCTATCTATAGAGAATAGAGATACAAAAAAAAGCAGCACCATCACGGTATACTTTGGAAAATAAGTTTCAAAGTTGCCGTGTCGAGTTATTTGAGTGTGACTTCGTGCTCTACGATGAAATGTTTGCACTAACACTTGGATTGTCTGTGCATCGTTTAAATATAAATGTACAATTTAGCCTCCATATGTATAGAAGGCTGCGTGTGTTTGAACAAGAGGAGTAAATGAGGGTTGGAGAAAAGAAAACTACAACGACAACAACTAGAAAAGAAATGGAAAAATAATGGTGGATCCAAGAAAGATTTATGCAACAGCACTGGGGCTCGAATTCAATCGTAATCTGACTTTGAAACTGCATTAAGTGTTGTGGTATGTGCGTGTATGCACATGTATATATGTTTGGCATTTGTACAAGTGTGTCTTTCGTCTTCTCTATTTCTCTCGCATCCAATAGCAAGATTTAAAAGCATTCACATTTAAGTAGAACACCGCAGAAACTTTGTGTGTTCCTTTCATTCGGTGACTGGTTCTTTTCTTTTTGTATGTCAAACCCATTTGCAATGTTTCTTACGTTTCTTTTCATATTCAGCGTCCCCTTTTTTGTTCCGTTTTGGAAAATCGCTTGTTGTCGATCTATACAGAAATGTGTGTTAATACACATTCCATCAAATGAGTGCGCAGTTGCGAATAAAAATAAGAAACACCATTCAACAATACATCTCGGTATTTTGTCAAAGAGTTTGTACAAAAGTCAAAACGAAACCATACTATGCTTTGCTTCACAAATGAAATATGTACTGAACGCACCTTGATCGAATTGAATGAAAACCGTCAATATTCTATCGAATGTATGAAAATCATCTAGTTGAATAAATGAATTCAATTTCAAATATATGAATCTTTATCAAATCTTCTCATCCTTCTCTATCTGAACTTATTACTTTGATAGCAATAATCAAGTTCACCTCAAAATCAACAAAAAATAGCAACTCGTACGTACGACACGAATGTGCACACATGTAAAAATGAAACTATTTTTCCACCGAATTTTCAACGTTGAAAACTTACTTAAGATACAATCCTATAATTTTCTGAATTTTAATGTGGGTAAATGACGATGTAAACTTTACCTTGCTAAGTGCAAACATTTACATTTCATGCGTAACTGTAAAGTTTTATCATAAATGTTCATATATAGACTAGAGTCGTGCCAAATGCTTTATCTCACGATTTTTCTCTCACTCTTGCTTACACACTGTCGTTCATTTGAATCACGGTACAAGAGAGCAATTTTGCATCGATTTGTATGTCTTTTGAGGTGTGTGCGAGAGTACCAATGTTATTTGCAGAATGGCAAAGTCAGAGCAATCACTTAACAACACTGAACATTCGGTGAATCGCTCTTTTCGTCGCGTGTGTGTGTGATTTTTTATCACTGTTTATTCAAGGTAAATCGAGAGAAAATCGCTTATGCAGAATGATTATATGCGCATTGAGTGCGCATATGATAATGAAATCAGTTATCGTTATCACTCGAGTTAATCGAATCGAGCGACAAGAAGAAAATGAAAGAACGAAAAAAGCCGCCATTTACATTACATATTTAAATGAAAAAAAAAACGAGCATGCTCATCGTCATGTTACCTTATAATGTTTGCCACGCAGATATATGTTATATATCCTAACGAGATTTACATTATGTTCATACTTATGTTTTGAATTTAAATTTGACTCTACGTTCATCCGCGTACCGTTGTTTCTTTTTTGTATTGTTTTGAAAATGAGAACAAAAATGAAAGATAATTTGATATTCAGGTATTTAAGACGAAGAATGTTTTTCTATGACAGTTTCTAGAAGAAGTTTTAAACAATAAAAAAATATTCAAATTTATATCATCAATTGATTCGACTAACCATGGTAAAATCTATTCGGATTTATTGTAATTTTAATATTTTCTTTCGTTATCATCATTTATAAATCTTAAATATCAACAGATGGGAGGCTTCGATGATTTAATATTTTATTATTTTTAATGTGCAAAGAGACCCAATAGGACGACAGAATCACAAAGGCCACCGAAATGCATTTATAAAATTAAAAAAAAAAAAAACAAAGTGAATACCGAAGTTGAATATGGACGCACCCTCGTTCTTTCGACCCGTTTGCACATTTCTCTATTAGATTAAGTTTGAATTATGTTTTTTTCTTTTCATCATTGAGTGCGTTTCTTAGAAAACTCTAGCTAGGGTCTATTTATGTAATTCAAACTGAGTGATGATACCATTTTATACGGTATTGATTTACGTTTATTTTTTATTCAATATATCGGATGTTTTTCCATTTCACAAATGATTTTTGATGTAGATGTTCTGTTTTACTTATGCTATAATCCAGCTAGAAAATAGGTTCGGTATACAGACACGTACTGTGTAGTGTGTAAATATCATTGTGAAGAAGGGGCACAAGAAATTGCTACTGATTTTATTGCTCATCCTGAAGGTGGATTACAATAATAATGGCAGAAAATCTTAAACATATTACTTGATATGCGAAGCAGTGGATGGCACCATATTCTTGACGATAAATGCAACGAAAAATAAATAAATAGGCGACGAAACAAAATATGACTTGAAATATATTATAGAGCATGAATATAGATGTGCATGCATGCACACAACAACACTTTCACCTGGAATTTGATTTGGAAACGTACAATACAAAATCACACTCAAACGTATTAATTTTGCAATAGACTATCATCAAACCGATTTAGATTCAGAAGACGAAGTCGGGCAACATGTTCTATTACGGATGTTCTATTACAATGTTCTCTATTTTTCCACCTTCTTTTGCCGCATACTTTTTTTTCTGTCGCAATTGATGCGAATGCGATAGATAAAATGATAGTATGAACAATGTGTGTGTGTGCATGGAATATGAATGTGACTATGTATGTTGTTATTATATTTCAATGCAGAAAAAGTGCAATTTCACAGTCGATGTTTCTTCTATTTATTCCATATAACAATATTGTAAAACATTTTCCCTATAATAATTTAATAGAGACATTTTAGCTGCTTGTCCCATTTATTCTTGATGTGTTATGTTCTCTTTTTTTTATATATATTATCTATATTTTTATGTTGCTCTATTCAATAACGTTGCTAACATCTTCTTTCTGCTTTGTGTGGTGTTATTCTCTCTCTCTCTCTAGATTTCTGATGATGATCGTATGAGCTTAACAACTGCTGTATCCGATGAAGATGACGGCGAAAGTGTCATGGCATCACCATACAAGGCAAAAGCAACAGGAACGGCAGCCGCTTCATTTAATTGTACCGGTGCTGTTCGAAAGGCTGGGTAAGTCTTCATTTTATTTCATTAATTTGTTACAATTCATTTCACAGAGATTGTGCTCAATTCATTTGATTCCGATTTTCAATATTGCGATTACACGACATACATTGCATTTCAACACATGAAATTAGCAAACATTATTTCCGACTACACCATATTTCACCGTGCACATTGGCACATTATCTCGATTGCTATTCGCGATTTTATTATATCGCTATTTTTTTTTCTATATACAGTCACATCTCCTGTACAACTCTTTACAACTTAAAAAAAACTGTTTATACAGTAGCTCGACCCTTCTTTGTATATTTTCACAATAAAACAGTTGTCAATTGTTTTGTTCGGTAGAGAATTTATATAGCATTGTTAATAAACTACAAAATACTGAGTAAGAATGTTGTTGATCAAAATTCGGATTCAACAATAAAATGTAGTTATTCGCAAAATTAGCTCTGAATATAATTTTGAATGCAATAACTACAAGTAATCTTTTTTATGGCGTATTAATTTTCTTTGTGCTCGTCATTTTTTTGTGTCGAATAGATTTTTCTTTTATTTCATTGTTTTCGAATTTTGTATTTCATTTTAGTATATAAAGTGCAGTATCGTATTGCATAGCAAAAATAATCCATTTAAATTAACTTTTAGCTCAACAACAGCAACGCAATTATGATTGAACAAATAAAAAAAATACATAAAATCTTTTTTTTTTTCTTTTGCTCGAAGGAATTTCTATTAAAAATGTGCGTTTAACGTTCATAAAGTTTTGTTGTCTTCACAATAATAATAATAATAATGAAATGGCTTCTTGTTATTGGTTTTGGTGATGATTAAATGGAGTCATGTTTTATTGCTCGCTATATTTTCCATTGCTATTATTTCGACTAACAAAAAAAATCACCATCAACATCTCCTTATCAAATGAACGTGGTAGTCTTCGTGCATTGATTGATTGTTCAAAGTTTATGAAAATCTGGATGAAACGGTGTATTTATAAGTTTTTCTGTATTTCTCATTTATTTTTCACCATTTTTTTTTTCATTCTCATTCGTTTCATATGCGTCGTTCGTGGATCGATTGGTGGATTTTAGATTCTTATCTGTGAAAAAGTGGCTGTTACGTAAAAAGCATCAAATCGAATTGGCACGTAAGCGAGGATGGAAGGGCTATTGGGTTTGTTTGAAAGGAACAACTTTATTGTTTTATCCATGCGATTCGCGAGAGGGTCGCACCGTCGATTCAGCGCCAAAGCATTTAATTATCGTCGATGGCGCCATTATGCAACCGATACCCGAACACCCAAAACGCGACTACATATTCTGTTTGAGCACCGCATTTGGCGATGCGTACCTATTTCAGGCGCCATGCCAGGTAAGACTAATTTTACATGTACAAAAACTTTTGTGCCCGCATTTTTAAATGAATCTCATTTTAGAGAGAAATAGAGACAGATAAAGGGGGTGGGGTAAGGTACAGAATGTGAGATAAAAGGGAACACATGAATTGAAAATGAAATCGTAATTTACGAAATATTTTCCAAAGTATTTTGCACAACTTGAACATTGCTAGTGTTAAATTGGGCATTACAAGTGAATGCACAAATACAAACAATTTGACTTAAACGAAAATACTTTTCTCAATTTAATTTTGTTGGATGGAGAGTGAGAGGGGGGAGGGAGATAGAAAAAAAAAAGCAGAGACTTCTATATTATAATTCAAGTCAAATACATAATCATTCACATGGACAACCTTCTTATGCGCATCATGTGCACATAAAGCGATAGAAGTTCCAATTCATAAATATCATGTCATAAACAAGCGATACTTGCAAACTTTTCCCTTTCTCTCCAACTAAGATAATAAAGAAATAATTAAAAGTTTTCTACATTTTCATGTTCCTGTTCACTTCTTTGCCATCGACAAATGCATTATACATATTATGTCTGCATATCTTCCATTCTGTTTCTCGGCAAAACAAAACAAAAAAAATCAAAGCAAAAATGGATATGACGAACAACAACAAAATAAAATTCAATTTTTCTCAGAATACAATACAATTTATTGCTCACGTGAAGCGTGTCAGAATTTATAAGTTCAAAGGATTTTCACGCGTTTGACCTTTTAACTTGGTGAAAAGAAAATCACAGAAGCACGAAGTATTCAAGGAGTGTTGCTAGATAAAACTTTATAATTAATTTGGGCAAACTATTGTTAAATTGTTGTGTTTTGCCTTAAAAATAACTAAATAAAATGTAAATGTATGAATTTGCTTCAAGAAGAAGAATGGGAAAATCGCGTCTTTTTTCCTCTCGACAATTATTATCGATTTATCATTTTCGTCATTTCAACATTCATTTTGTCCGTATGAAAAACTGGCCGAATTGGCCGAACTGGCAGATACATTCCATTCCATTTCAATTGACACAATATTTTATTTACGATAATTCAATTAAAAATCTGCCAGTAACTTTGTTCGATTTGCCAATAGAATTTTTGATTCTTCATTCACATTTAGAGGAGATAGAGATTGTCTGTGCAAACGATGTGAAAATATAATTGAATATTTAGTTAATATTGAATCGAAATTTGATAAATAATTTACCCAACGGCAGATTGTACCGATTTGTAATGACAAGTTTCGGAAAGCCATAAATTCCGAAAGTATGATGATGAAAATCGGCAATAATAAGGAAATGTATTGCACAACATGGCGAATATTTGTCTCTATCTCAGTCTCATTTTTATCGATTATGCTCTCTATCCCTCTCTCTCTTCCGCTCCTTCTTTCCCGATTACCTTTTAAATTCATGTGAACAATTTCCTTGTTCACTTATCGAAAAAGGTCGTACTTCGTGAGTAGAAACTAATAGCACAAAGTCGATTTTCAGTCTCGAGATATAGAATTACTTTTTTGCCATTGTATCCGTTCCAATTATTCTTTTCTAATATATATGTTACAATTTCTCACTCTCTATCTCCCTTTCTCTGTTATTCCGTGCATTTTTTTTTTTACACTTTTCTGCTCGTGACGACATTTATGGACAATAACTACAACTGCTACTGCTACTTTTACAACGATGACTATGATGACGACAACGATGTACACACACATATACTATCACCATCATTCACTTGTATCTAACATGATGAATCACTTCAATTCGCTGATGTTTCCTTATTTTGTTGGTGTACATAATTCAGGTGGAATTGGAGAATTGGGTGAATAGCATTCATAATGCTTGTGCGGCTGCATTCGCACGTCATCGTGGAAAAACCGGAACACTTCATTTGTTACAAGAGGAGATCTATCGTTTGGAGAAGGCCATTGAATCGGTAAGCTTTTAAATACAACTTGGTTTTACGCTCTTAAAAGGTGCCATGGCATATTCCATTTGGTGCTACTTTATTTCAAGTTTCCTTCGATAAAATGAGAAAAATGATTTTGATACGAAAAAACCTTCTACACCATGATATTTATTTGAATTCTTTGTAATTATAATTTCACAAATTTTATTTCTAAACAAAATAATGTTCATCGATTCACCGAATCCAAACGATCGAAAAGTTTAAAGTTATTAAATTTTACAATAGAAAAAAGTTCAATTTTTTGAATGAAATTTCACGACATACATTTATTATCATAGCATAAAAATACACAAGAACATTTTTTTTGACAGCAATCCGGTCATTTATTATTTTAACTGAAGTGTCTTATTCGTAGTGCACATGGAAACACTAGCAACAGCTATTATTCGAATAATCTCTATTTCGTCGCTTATCCGATTCGCTTCGGGCAAAAGTTTTACGGAAGAAGGCAAAAGAAAAGTCAAAAGTATGCTTGCATATTTCATAAATATTCAGCACTTGTGCGCAGTAAAAAAAAAAACAAGTATGGAGACGACAAGACGGCCATCGTATTTCCGATATAAGTTGGGAGAGAGAAAAGATCGAAATCAATTCAAGAGAAGATGTTTAAAATTTGTGTTTTACAATGATGAAAACAGATCCCATGACACCTATAGATCGTTTATGCAACGATGAATCTATTGTGTACCATTATTCTTCATATTTGGTTTGAACTCTTTGTTATTATTATTATTTTTTTTTTTGTTTCTTTACCTTCTTTTTTTCCTAGTTTTTCTCTATCTATTCATTCCCATGGATATTATATGTGGCGCGAAGATGAGTCTGTTTCAATTCCTGCTCTTACCAGTTCTTTTCAAATTTTAAGTGCACTCTACTTTTCCATCACATTATATAAGTCTTGTAACAGTCGATGCACGTGTTACAACGTTTCCGCTTGCATTCGAACTGTGCCATTTAATCTATGGGAAGCGAAGTATTTAAGATTGTCATTTTTTGTTTCATCCTCGTCATTTCGTTCATTTTGTGCTTTCTGTTTCTTCTATTTCGTCATTTCTTTCTCTCGTTTCGTTTAAAGGGGCATTTTTGTGTTCCGAACGAATATAAAAGATCCACTTCAATGTGAGAAAAACAAATTTGCGCTTGTTCTTTATACACGGTTCACTTGTACAGCATGTTTGAAACCATCGAACCGAACCGCACATGCACCCACAGATACCTTTTTGATCGGTCTCAAAATGGTCGTCGCTATTTTAATAAATGGCTGTAAAAATCATCTAAAGTTGATTAAATTGAAGGAAAAGTTTATGTGACAAATATTTATGGAACTTTTCAAAAGTCAATCGAATTTTGTAGCGTTTCATAACATATTTAATTTGAAACAGAAAAAAAATATCCTTACGCACTGTCTGTATGTAAACATTTTTTAAGCGTATCCGAAAACTGTGCATGTTAATTTTAAATTTTCTTTAATTGGATTTGATTTGCATGCACGAGTACACATTTAATACAAAAAAGTTTTCGAAAAGCACTGAATATGTTTGAAGCTGTTGTGGATGCGTGGAATTCATAAAAGCCGAGAATATTTCACAAAATCCTATAATGCGGACTGCATACTTGATAATCATGGTTCCGAGGGTTCCAGTTGGCTAGAATAACCAAACCCCCCAACCCCCTGAAAAAGTGTTGCCCCCTATGGATTTTCGAAGAAAAAATTCTTTTATTCGCGAGGGTTTTTATTATCGAAAGGCAATTTTTTTCGATTTACCAGGAATTTTTGTGGAAAATTCTCGCTACACTCTGGTAATTAATTTTGATCGGAGTGAAATGAAAAGCTCCTTTTAAAAAAAAATCCGAAATGAATTTATTCGAAATAGAATTGGATTTTTTACTTACCACCCTCGATGTTTTTAAATTACTCCCCCTTTTAATTTCTACCTTGATCAAGTATGGAATACGGTGTTATAATACATATTCAACAATGTGTTATTTTGAACTGTCTCGCCAAGTGACTTTCAAAATTACGATTCAAAGGTAAGACAAAGAGGGAGAAACATGGTAAAACAAATTCAATTACGACGAAATAATTTCACTTGGCTGGAGTAACACAATTGAATCCACATTATTTTTGGCAATACCATCGAAGTGTTACCACACGTATACATATATGATATAGAATCTCTGTTTTTTTCTTCTTCATTCAACCATTGTGCATTTGTAAGTGGCGCACCTATCATACTAGTCATATTTATGTGCTAGTGTAAACACAAATCCGCTATTTTATCTGTACAGGTGACCAGTTGTGGTTCAGTATCATAGGTGTGCTACTTACAAATGCACAATGGTTGGTTAAAAAAATCATTACCAGCATATAGCGCTTCTACACTTTGATAAAATGCCAAGTATTTGAAAGATAAATCACCAACCACTACGCTACTTCTGATTCGCTTTTTTCTTCCCAAGATTAAATTGCATACCGAAAGCACTAAACAACCGCGTATAACATGATGAATTCCATTCTGACCGCACTTTTCACCTTACAAACAATTTGAATACATATATGTGTATCACCGAATGTTTTGAATGTTTTCATGCATATGTCTTACTTGTTCATTAAATTGAAACATCCATAAAATACATACCAGAGAACCGCTCGTCAGCATAATCAAATTAGACGAAACCAAAACCAGATTATGAATTACATACACTTCTTCAGTCTTCATTCATATGAGATTTCGAGAGATTTTTGTTTGTTTTTCAAACGAATCATCGGATCGATTCAAATGCCAAATCAATTACTGTGTGTTATATGTAGTTTTAAAGGGGACGCTAAGACGATATAAATTGAATCTATTGCTCATTGAAATGGATTAAATTAAATTTTAATGTGCATAAAATGAATGAGCTGAAAGTGTCCACACAACTCCAATTCACACTTAACAAATGTATGATAATTAACAGAAACAAAAAATGAATTTTTGTACATAGTTTTGGCTTCAAATAAATCTATGTGGCGTCGAGTAGTCAGTCATCAACGTAGCATTTAATGCAGTGATTTATTCGAAAAAGAGAAAAAAAACCACGTCGAAATGTAAAAGAGAGAATAAGAGAGATGAAAATTAATTAAAATAAAATTGAAACAGTCCAACTGACGCCGTTTAATTGAATACACAACACAAATAATTGTGAATATGAATCGATGAAATAGTTCATGACATGCAACGAAATACAAGTTCAATTTGTACTTTACAACAGCTCATATAGTTTTATTGTACTTGATAATGTGAGTCTATGCATCGATCAAAGCAGTAAAGTTTTAGCAGTGATTTGAATCATTAGTTTCAATTATTAAATCGACGAGTTGCGCCATTATATCATGCCTTCTAACGATTTTATCTTTCTCCATCTCTTTTCCCCCGCCAATTTTCTTCATTTTGAATCGTTTTTTCACCACCGTACGCCAAATTAAATCGCCCGAAATGGTCGACGAAACAAATTGCGAAACCGAGTAGAAAAAAAAAATATATATCGAATAATTTTCCTAGTCGAAACTGTGTAATCTTTATAACCAAAATGTTTATGTGGCATAATCAGATATGCATCGACTACATGCCATATATTTAAATTCAAAATCAGAGCTCATAACAATTTATCAAATTATCTCATATTGCTTCTTCGTTTTCAATGTGAGAAAATGTATGCGCTATTCAAACCGAGATACTGGAAGATACAAAAGAATAATGGCACTAAAAGACAGGGATATGAATAAAGAAGCACCGAAAGCGAAAGAAACCATTATTTAGTGGAAGATATTTTCTGTATATACGCGAGAGAAAGATAAATAGAGAGAGAGAAGGAGAGAGAGAAAGAACCGCCCGATATAGTAAAAATACTTCCACATCTGTAACAACACGTTCGTAGTAAAAAAACGAGTAATAAAAAAAGGAAATATGAAATAAAGCTAAACAATAAAATTTATTGTAATTGTCGATAAACATAATTTATGGATCCGATATCGATGCGGAGAACCGAGAGTCATTTTTCGTTCGATGTTACAACAGTGTATATACTATATAGTGTAAATGGAATGAAACAACAATAACTACCTCAACTAAAAAAAGCGTTATATTGAATTTTTGTGCGCCGCAAAACAAATAGAAATGAGCTAATGCATTTATATTTTTTCAACTAAAAATCGATTATTTTGACACCACAATTTCAAAGAGGCGATAGCGCTGTCAAATGTGACGAAATATAAAACGGTATAGACTTTTTAGCAAAAAACGAGTCCGAAATTAAAAGAAAAAAAAAACAACTTTTTGTTATATGTGTGTTGAATTGCATAAAGATGTAAATATCATGTTGTGAATATAAAATATTATATTATATGCGATATGTGTTACAAAGCAACCAATTTTCACGCAGTCTTATGTCTGTGTGTGTACCAGTATCGGCTATACACATATCAAATCGCTTTGTTACATGGGCACAAACATATTCGCAACTATATGGCATCGTATCCCATTAGTATTTTCGATAATTTTACTGTGTCAGCGCAAATTAATTTAATAAAATTAAAACAAATGCAATTATTCATAGCATAGCTGATGCTATAAACGATCAACGACGAAATGATTATATACTCTAGGGTGGCATTACGTTAATTTAAAGTGAATTTGAAGTGAAAAATCGTCAAAAATGTCAAAATCATGACCTTGTTTGTAAAAAAAAACTATGATTTGTCAGTCATTCAGGCATGAATAGTCATTTCTATGGTATGGCGCTGAATCCGAATCAAGCCTTAAAAATGAGCAGTGTTGGGTAAAGATACTTAATCTGAGTTTTTTAAGATACTTTTCCAAAATATCTCATCTTATCTAAACGTAATTTTTGCTATTTTTTGGCCACCCTAGTATACAATTATACATACTGTACACATAATGAATGCAAATGACAGGCAAATATATTAT